TGTGCTCGCGGGCGGGGCGCCCGGCAGCCGGCGGCGGCCAATCGGGGCGGTCGTCCGGGGAGGGGCGGGGCTTGCCGGCTCGGGCTCCGCGAGTCCTCCTTTTTGCACACACACGAATACAAAGAGCCATACGACCTTCGGGTATCCTTTTTCCATTTTTTCCCCCTCCTTAATCTTGTGTGTGTTTTCAAATTTTTTAAAAGTAGAGATCTGTGGCAGTGCTGGGGTGAGGAAACTGTTGCTAAGGGGAATTTTCTCTTTTCCCCATTTCTTTTCCTGTCTCTCTTCCTCTTTCTTTTTCCTGATCAAGGTTTTAAATATACCAAGAAGTTGAGACGCGGGATGGCCGTGTACAACTGTTTCCAGTCAAATTTATAGTTTTTTTTTTTTTTTCTCCTTTTTGCTATCACATTTAAGAACTGGTAAATTTTTGTGGTTGAGAGATTTAAAAATTTAGCCGCTTGGGAAGTATAGATTTCTTTAAAAAAAAAAAAAAAAAAAGGGCTGAAGGGATAATGTAAATTCCTGCCACGGGCAGCATCACAGGAAGCAGGAAGATTTGAGGCTCCCTCAGAAAGCCCTTTGGCGTGCGTTTTACACACCCTTGCCCAGAGCCAAGACCAAGGGGCTTGGGTGCGGCAATTGCCCAGGGTCAGTAGATTTAAAATATTGGGATAAATGGGACACTTTATTTCCCCGGGGAAAGGAGTGTGTCTTGCACACACATTTTCATGAGGACCTTTCTGTGTGTGTGTATGTGTGTGTGTGTATTTCTTAAATTATTTCAAAAAATATTTATCTTGGGGTTTATTTGTGTATTATATGTGCAATATGTGTATATGTGCCATATCAGATTTTATTTTCAAAAGTGATTGCCTTTGGTTCTATGTGTGCAAAATAGACCTTAGAATGTGAACTTTTTCTGTTGTGCTCCCGGATGTGACCAAAACAAGATTTCATGTGCAAAGTGAAGAGGAAATCCTAAATTTAAGCCTAGTTGCTTTCATTCTATTTGCATTTACAGTATTTTTCTGCTCCTCTTTTAAAGGATCAGATTAGTGAATAATTAAATAATTGCCAGGGAGTGTATAGTCTATGTTGCAAATGAGGATAGGCAATTTATTGAATCTGGTTCATAGCCGCCTTTAGTGACTGTTTTGCCTAAGTGGTTTTGCTTTTTATTGTCTTACGTTCTTAAATGTACAGCTGTGTATATTTTGGCCTTTATGTGTGGTTTGGTTGGTGTGGTCCGAAGGGAAGTTTTCTTGGCTTTTTGACAAAATGGTCGTTTATTCGTTGGGATTCGTTTGAAAAGCTCCACAGCTGGTAAAGTATCAGGAAAAATTAAGTCAAGTCCATTCCTAGAAACTGTTCACAGTGGTATTGATGGGGGCCACGGGGAGGCAGAGGCAAATAATAGGGATAAAAAATGCGTTTTGTTATCATGTTGCATTTTTGGAATGAAAATCCTCCCTCGGTCTAAGCCTCAGTGAAAAGCGAATTAGAGGCCAACCGGCTCAAAGAGAGCCTCCCGCTGGAGAAGGCCTACTGTCACTTCCTGTGCTTATAGGACCACTGTCACCTCATTAGCAGTCCTACAGACAATATCCATCTTCCAATCTGTATCTGCAGACTGGAATGAAAGCACAGAAGTATGTGGGGTGAGAAGGGAGAAACAGGAGTATTGCAAGTGTAACAGCAACCAAGTGATTAAATAAGGATCAAACTTATTACAGAACCTCTGTAGGATGATACTCATATATTCCCACCCCTCAGCTGTGTCCTACTTCATTTCAAGCAGTATTTAGGACATCTAAGTAACAACTGCAATAAAATTATGTGTACAAGGTCTTGAATTCACTATAAGGAAAGTGAACCTCTCCGGGTTTCTGTCTTGTACTAAGTATATTTGCATCTCCTAAGAATTAAGAGTCAGATCGGCGCTTAATAAATGCTGGCTCCAGAGTGGATCATTCCACAAGCTTAGACCTGCGTTGCTTTCCAAACCTACTCAGATGCTATTGACTGTTGTTACCTCCGCAGTGCTGGGCATTTTCATGGGTTTTGGCTCTGACTCGGCCTTCCTACAGGTTCAAATGTACACTGAGCTGCACTTCCTAAGCTACTCGGTTTCCACATCTCGGGACCTAGGCTTATCTGCAAGGTCCTGCTTTGAATGTTTTTGTAAGAAAGAGAATTCCTCGTGCGTTGGCTTGGCTTTCTTAGCAAAGAAAAGCAAATCTGAGCTCAGTGATTTTTTTTTTTTTTTTTTTGGGTGGGAATCCGAGGGTCCCTTAGAGATGAAAACTTTGAACTAAGAGGAACTGCTTTTGCAAGCGTTACCTGAAACCAAGGCCGGCAGGAACTAAAAATCAGCCACCACCAGATTGTATGAAACCGATCTGAGGTCACCGTATTTGTCATCGTGTACACATAGCTTTGTGAACAGCAGAGAACGAAAGCAAGTAAACAAAAAACAAACCAAAGATGGCGTCTAACGGCCTTGAAAAAGCCTTGTAGTCGTGTCCCTCCCTGAAGAGGCCCCTCCCCTCCTTGTCTCGTTGAGTGACTGGTTGTATTCGCCAATAGCAACCCAGCTCCTGCACACCCCTATGGCCCAAGCGCCAATCATCGCGAGCCAGGAGGCCAGCGGGGCGGTGCTTTCCCGCGCGCGCGCGCGCGCGCGCGCAGGCTGAGTACACGAGCCGGCGCAGCTCCCTCTGCCGCCGTCCGGTCCTCGTTGAGTCAGGGCGCGGTGGCGCGGCGCACACGCGGTGGGTCTCCCGCCGGGCTGCCTGTCTGGGGCCCCGCGTCGGTTCCCGCGACGAGCGTCTGCTCTAGTCCCCGACCTGGGCTGTCGTGGCCACATAGTGTACCCACGTTGATCCAGCAAGGTCCTCGGCCGCTGGGCTCTCCGCCACCCGCCGGGGACCACCCCCTTCCCCGGCCCCAGGCTCCCGTCGCAGCGCTCCCTGCCCGTAGCCGGATCGCACTGCTTGTCGGGAGTGGTTCTGCCGTCCCTGGTGCCCTCCTTGTCATCTTCGACCAATATTTAATCAGCTAACATTTACCGAGGGCTTGCTGGGCGCGTGGCGGGGCTCTAGGAGCTAACTTCCCGTTTTTCAGTTTCTCCAGAGATGCGGCAAGAGCACTTTTGTATCACGCACATTTGTATGAACACCTGAAAGCGGAAATTCGGGGCTCACCAAGTTGCACTTTAGCAAATGTAAATCAAAAGGACCGTGCCTGCTCTGGGTTAAAAACTCCTGTCCCGCTCTACAACTAAACTTGTGACTTGGGGGATTACAGGGAATCTTACTGCTTAAAACCCTCCTACCTTCTGGGTCTAATTCTATTTTGTACAGCTAATAAGGAGGTCTTTAGGATTGTTTTGCAGCTCATTAGATGGGGCAGTCTTAAAATGTTGGAGCCGGGCATGGTGGCTCAGGCCTGTAATTCCAGCACTCGGGAGGCTGAGGCAGGAGGATCGTTGCGAGTTCGAGACCAACCTGGGCTACAAAGTGAGCTCAAGGCCAGCCTGAACTGCATAGCGAAACCCTGTCTCAAAAAAAAAAAAAGAAAAGATGAGATGTAGGGAAATAGTATTTTATGGAACCTGATTACCTCCTCACATGTGATAGGACCTCATTTCTGATAGAAAAATAGGTTTTGAGGAGCTGGGGATTTAGCTCAGCGGCACAGTGCCTGCCTGGCAAGCTCAAGGTCGTGAGTTCGATTCCTGGTACCGGAAAAAGAAAAGAAAAGAAAAATAGGTTTTGAGAGGACCTTCAAACAGGTGAGCCATTTCCAACCTTGAAGTGGAGGAGCAGAGCTGACCAGCAGGGAGGAGCTTTTATTCTTGAGAGGATCTTTAAGTGACCATTTTCCTTTTTTATTTCTTAAAATGAAGATTATGATACGAATGGCCAGGCTTTCAGTAACCACGTTGAAGGAAGTCCATTTCTAGCCTGACCCTGAGCCCGCTGAAGGCCCGTTATGAGAGCATATATCATCTGAGGGGCACCGTATTGCGCACATTTATTAAGCAGTGAGAAAACTTATTTTTCATAGTTTGGAGGTGAACTCAGTCAAGCAGAAAATTCAAACCCAGAAAGGGGAGAAAGCAAGCAACGGAACTGCCAAGAGCGTGATATATTCAGTCCTAACAAAGCTACGCGGCGCTCAGGAGAGGGGCGGTAAAGATCACGAACAGCCTCACTCTGAACTGTCTAAAGGAGATGAGTTTTCTTTTTTTTAAATCTAAATATTTATGAAAAATATCAAAATTATCGAGAAGTACATTTTCTAGGCTCATTTCACATGTATGAAAATTAGACCGGTGCTGAAATGAACCCCAGATATATTTTATGCAAATTTCAGTTTAACATCTGTCAGACTGAAGATCTTTTTCTTGGTACCTGATTAGAAAAGTTGTTAGCTTTTTCCTTAAAGTTTATTTTTGGAACTTGAATTGTCATTCATTTATTTATTTATTTTGAATTTTTACCTCCAGAAAAATCTTCCTACAGAGAGATTCTTTTAGAGGCTGTATTCTTGGAAGGCAGCTATGTTCACCACTATACCACCAATGCACATGAGGCTGTATGCTTGGAGTCCTGGGAATTGGCCTCCTCCATGCTAGGCAGGTGCTGTACCACAGAACCCCGCCCCCATGAAAGTTGACAGCATTTTTGTTTTTGTTTTTGTTTTGTTGTCTTTTTGAGACAAGGTCTTGCTATGCAGTTCAGGCTGGCCTTGAGCTAACTTTTTAACCCAGGCTGGCCTCGAACTCGAAACGATCCTCCTGCCTCAGCCTCCCGAATGCTGGGATTACAGGCGTGTGCCACCATGTGTGGCTGAAAGGTGATAGCATTTTACAAAATACATGTATATTATTCTATAGTAGCCATCTTTGTTTATTTTATATTTTTCTTTCTTGAACAAAAATATGAACTCTTGGTTTATAAAATAAATTATTAGGGTGGCAGTGTAATCCAGTGGTAGATTGTCCTGAGGCCCTGAGATTGATCATCAGCACCAAAAAAAAAAAAAAAAAAAAGAGCTGGGTGTGATGGTGAGCACCCATCATCCTAGCTACTGGGGAGGCTGAGGCAGGAAGATCCTTTAAGCCCAGTTGCTAG